TGGCCATTGGAAGTCACCACCCCTTGCACCACTAGTGGTCATTCATCCACTGCTCAGGATCACTACGGCTACTGCTTCTCACCAGTGACATAACTAGGGTGGAGGGACCAGGGCAACTGTCCCCGGTGCCAACTTGGTGGGGTGGGGGGGGGGAAGGGACATCTGCCACAGCACCTGTACAGTCGTAAAGGTGGTAGTGGCAGTGACCCAAAGTTACCACTGCCCCTGTGTGTGGTGGCTGCCTTAAGTGAGGTGCCCAAGTGCCTAGCCACATCATTATGTCTCCACTCCTTGCCACCACCAGAGATCAGGGTCAGACTTGCTGCTTTCCTTGGGTGCAGCCTGCCTTCGTAGCCTGCTGCCAGGCTGCCTGCACGGGCTTCCTGCAGAGCCCCTGAGCTGTATGGAGCTCAGTGCTTCACTCCACAGCTGTAGGGCAGCAAACTAAAACTCCTTTAGTTTGCTGCGCCCCAAGTCATTTAAGACGCATTACACCACCAAATTTGCTACAGCGGCTGGAATTACTGAGCAATATGCTGCCGTGTGCCAACACCAATGCTATTAAAGTCATGCAAAAGCATTTAACCCGCTTTAAAGTGTCATACATACATGCCCCTCATTTCATCTACACACGGCCAAAGAGAGCAATTTGCAATCCTCTAACATCCCAGGATGCATTGCTTCCAAAATACGCCCCCTCCCCCAAAACACATACAGAGCACAGAGAGCGTCCAGGTATACTGGCTCCTAGCCATGCCCTTGCTTGCCAGCCCTCTAGGGGCAACACAGAGCTATTCAGGCAAAAATGGTTTTAATCCGTCATATGCAACTGCTCATAACACATTCTAACTTTAACAGTGCTTCACATTCCACAGATTTAGTATGGTCTAAGTGTAATGTGTAACTTCACCTAACAGATCTCAACCAGAACCCACTATAGGGATGGTTCTAACAGGTCATTTTTCCTTTGAGGCTTAATGTCAGACTGTCATTAGTAATTCCTGCCTGGAGGCTACCCCAACCTCTTCTGCTTTCGATTCCAGGGTCACTCTATTGCAGACTTCTGCATGGGTCACAGTGGGTGCTACCCCTTGATAACCTTTGCCCAATTTTCTCTTTGAGTGTTTATAGCTTTATATACTTCATTGTTTGACCCCAGCATCCTTTCCTGCCCAGGGGAGGGGGTCAGATTTGATGATCTGGTCAGGTACCTTCTGACTCTACCTACTGTGAAACCATTTTGGAAAGGAGGGCCAGTGAACATAAACAATGGGGTCATTTGGCCCTTTTCATTTAAACAATTTTACCTCAGCACAGCTGAAACAGGCACAAGTAGGTTCCCACACATACTAATGGGGCTATGCAGATAATGGATACACATTTTTGTAACACAGGACATCAAAAATATATGTGGGTTTATTTTGGTCAACTGACAAAAGGATTGTGGAGCTGGAGAGAGGAATCAAGCAGGGACTTTGTTAGAGGACTCACCTCTACCTGAGGGACCTGGGTCCTGTGATGTAACCCCCTCTGATCTAGGCAGCAGCCTATGTGCAGCAGCCAAGGGGTTCAAGCCATGTTGTAAGCCTGACTTATTTTTATTTGATATGGTTTGTTTGTGCCTACTGCTGATTTATGTAACCTTCTGTTGAAGTATTCTTTACTTTATTGTGCAGTAGCTGGTCCTTTCAACAATACAGGTTCATGCTAAGATTCAGTGTATTTTAGGGAAGGAATTCCTAAGTCTGGGCAATAAGTTTATAACTGAGAGCCCTTACCACTGTAAAGGTGATCATTAGTCCACGTCCACCCATACTGGATGCACCCCTTGGCTGCATACACACATTCAAATAATCTGGAAGAATTCTCCCAGTTTTTTTCTCCTGCTAGAAAAATTTACCACAAGATGCATGAACAGACATTTGATTACTGAGCCCCTGAAGGGCAAACAGCTTGCAGTGCTGATGCTGCACAACCAGAAGGGCCCTCTGCATACATCTTAGCATGCTCTGCAGACTCCATGTCTGGGGACAGATGGCAGCAGTGCACAGGGCAGCACTGACTGGCTGACCCAAACTAATCAGTCAGCCTGTATCTCCCTGCAGCACAAAGTGCTACTGTGAAGGGGGTGTGCTGTACATTGTCTCCCTTGAGGTGGGGGTGGAGGATGGGAGCAAAGCACCCTGGGATGATGGAGGATTATTCAGTGGTTTATATTAGGAGAGAACATGTACAGACATTCATTCTTGCAGAGGAAACACTCGGTGGAGTGATTTAACCCTGGCTGTTCCCAAGTTATTTTTCTCCCAGAGCAGATGATCCTGCCTCAGGGACATGGTGGATCTAGATGACCATTCAAGGTCCCTTCCAGCTCTACTTTTCTATGACTCTATGGCTACGGCTCTGGAAGAAAAATCCTGAACATGTGTATACTCGTGATTTCTCCTCAGAGAAACATAGTATGAAAATATGGTACCCATTCCTGGGTTGGTTTTTGCTTATTTTATACAAATGGCTGGAAGAAGAGAACTAAAGAACAGTTACTGTGGAACTTGGTTACTCTCATATCATTAAGGAGACAGATTGAGGGCTTAGAAATTGAATTAGTGTCTAACTATATTTTAGCAGTGCTTACTAAATGTCATGGCAGAGCCCTTTAATTCTTATTAATGTTTATTCCACCCCTGTTTACATTATGAATGGACACAATTCTGAAATGGGAATAGTTACATAGTGCTCTGGACATGATCTGAAATAAATATCCCATGTTACAAGTAATAATAACAAGTGATTTCAATGCTAGGATTGGTGGTACCAATAGTCGTGATAATGAAGATGTAATAAATGAAATATGGGAAATCCCACCAACAGTTTTATGTACTAGGACTCTAAGTGAAAGAGGGCAATAGTTCTTACAACTTATTGCAGAAAGGTATTTAATAATGCTTAAAGGGCAAACTGAGAAGGTTGTATCTGGAACCAGGAGAAAGCGTAATAGGCTATATATTCACAGAATCATAAATGTAGTATAAGTACAAATCATTTTAAATTCTGCCACATGTGGAGAGTGACCATTTCCCCTTACTCTAAGAATGTCATTGGAATTTTACTAAAAGTCTTCCCTACAAACGATACAGGTGGCTCTCACATTGGAATTAATAAGAAAATTAAATGGAAAAATTAGCTAAGAGAAAAATGTGTTGCTTTATTCAAAGACAGTGTCTGAAGCCACTCAGCTCATTCTCAGTGAACAAGAACCCCAAGAAAATATTACTCAGTATGATAAAGTTGGTCAACAGGTCGAACATGTTCTCACAAAAGAGAGCATCTTTGTAGGGAATAGATGTTAGTAGCACAAACTATGATTTGTATGCTCAGATCCCAGGGAGAGGGCCACACCCTGTGCTAGAGGAAGGCACAAACTATGACTGCTCTAAAGTTAAAGAACCTCTAATAGACTTCTTGATGGAATACAAGTTTAAAAATGATTGTGCCCATTTCTTACAAATTAAGATTACATTAAATAATAAAAAACTAATTGCTAGAAAAAAAGAAGTAGAAATGAGGCTGTGGAATAAACTAGTCAGGGATGATATAGACATAGCCATGTGCATGTTCTACTATGGGTATTCCCCATGTTTCTGGGTTTTGGTAGTTGCTCCTCCCCTCCACTTTTTTGCTACGTGTCAGCGTGTTTTCAAGCCTTTCTTGGAGGCATTGGGTGTTGGTTGTAGCCAAGACAGGATTTTGATACCGGTGTGCCAGTGCTCCTGCTGAGACATAAAGCCAGAGGTTCCTGACTAGGGAGCCTTGCTCCTCTGCTCAGGATCAGACCAAACGTCCATTTGGAGTCAGAGGAATTTAACCCCACAGTCAGATTGGTAAGGTCTGGGGGGGGGGGTTACTTTCCTCTAGCACAGGGTGTGGCCCTCTCCCTGGGATCTGAGCATATAGTAATGCTTTACAGAAGCAGGATGCTGGCTGCCGTGGCCTCCCTACTTTATGTGTGGCGGGTTAGGGTGTCAGGTCTTGTCTTGTGTTGAACATGTAGTTTTGCCAAAAGAGAAGACCACGGAGTTGTGTAGGATGGTTTGGATAGGGATGATCCTGCCTCTGGCAGTGGGCTTGAACTAGATGACCTCCGGAGGTCCCTCTCAGGCGACTTCTCCATGAAACTAATAGAAAGAGTCACATTAGTGCCGTATACGGATTCTGTTATGATGAGGTAACATTACTGCATTGCTTTAGCAAAAGCTGGACCTGAACTCCTCTACTAGGCAGCCCTTAACTAAACAGGTCAAACCCGCAGCCTAAAATCTGAATGCTTTTGCATTTCACAGCTGGGGAGGGGGGAGGGGGGGGACCAAGACGGGTCTCCAGTAGCCAGGACTGGAGAGGGGGCAATGCTGAGCCGTGCCCGATTCCCAGTCTCCAGTCAAACCTGCCCCCACTCCCTTCCAGTCTGTGAGTGTTAACAATCATTGCTATTTCCATGGCAACAGCTCGTGAGGACTGACACAACCCGACACAGGCAGCAGCCCCGCAGCTTTTAGTTTGGGGCTGGGGGAGCAGCACTGCCCCCCATTGGTGACGCGGCCAGTGCGTTGTGCTGGGGACTGGGTACACCCCCGCCACTGCCTAGAAAGGCTCAGTAAGACCCGGGAGGGGCGGGGCTACCCGTCCGAGGCCCCGCCCACACCCCTCCCGAGGAGCCACTCAGCGGCGCGGGAGCCTCCCCCCCCCCCTCCACACCGCCCCC